GCTCAATCCCTTTTTCCTGTTATGGACCTTTAACACTTGAGACTAAGCACCATGCTCCTGGGCACTTCAAACCAATATTACAAGGAGTACAACTTAGCATTGCAATAAAAGCTATCCTGATGGAGCTGAATTGTTTACCATCTTCTTTGTGTGGCACTAGTCAATTCAATTCAATTTAATTTATATAGCGCCACATCACAACAACAGTTGTCTCACAGCGCTTTCCAAACAGAGCAGGTCAGACCCTACTCTGAAGTTAACTACAGAAACCCAACAATTCCCACCATGATCAAGCACTAGGCGACACAGGCAAGGAAAAACTTCCTTTTAACAGGCAGAAACCTCGAGCAGAACCATGGCTCAGGGTGGGCGGCCATCTGCCTCGGCCGGTTGGGGGTGAGAGAAAGAGAGAGTTCTTGATTGTGTGGTATAGAACCTACGACATTTAGCACACAACGCTAAATGTGTGGGACTGATTCTCCTGGTCTAGTTAAGATATAATGCTCAGTCTTGGGCCAGCTATTTTCTATGGTCACAAATGTGTCTCTGTTTCAGAAAAACAAGCATCAGAAGACCACCTACTCCTTTGATTGTCTAGAAATATCCAACGCTAACTTGAGGGGCTGGAGGGTGAAATTGTAACCATCGAAATAAACCAGATCTTAAACATAGATGTGAAATAGCAGCTGCAGCGTAGGTTGTGTATCATATTTTTTTCCCAGCTCTTTCATACTTCAATGCTGGCAGCAGGGGTTTTAAAATGCTGTTGTACAGCACGGGCTATTTATGAGAGCTATCCAATCTACTATTGCAGAACGTTGGGTTGTTATTTTGTAACCACTTTGTGCAGAGGCAGGACATAGTGCAGAAACTATGTGCTTTGTTTTGGACATTTCGAATGTCAGATAAATCACTTTGAGGACTATGTTGATAATAATACCACATGTACTGGACCCTATTTTAAACGTATATACAATCCTAGTGCAGTATTTGGTTTGGTCAACTGCATTTGGTTTGGCTTATTTAGACTTCTGCATCCGATTAAACATATTAATTCTTTTTAAAAAATGAAGCAAATTTGCTTACAAAACAACCACCCACAGGAACGAGCTTGACATTGTAGATGTTTCATGTACAACGCCTGCTGAGGTAGGCCATCAGGGGATCTCAGCTTTTCGAATGAATGAACACCTACAAGACATCTATTATGATTCTGCAGATATGCCAAAATTACATAAACACATTAATGATACATTAGAGTTGGAGAGGCTCACTTGAAGTGAGATGAAAGGCATCAAAGAAGAAAACCCTCCTAATTTATGATCAGTTTGAATCAGGACGGAATAACAACATAACTGCCTTTCCATTAGTTTTGTAACAAGATGACAGCCTATGACTTCTACCTCCACTAATCCTAACATACATTAAACCATTTTGTGTGACAATGTACCAAGGTGGATTTGAAATCTCTTTTCCATAAAGAATTTTTCTGCTAATGATTGTCTTAATGCATGATTCTGTTTTAACGCAGAGGTGTGCTGCTGCAGACACCTTTTCACTGAAGGAAATCCTTGTGCTTATGCATTTTTAAATATGACCAGATTTTCTCGGTCTGACTGGGAAGGCTAACAGATTAGCGCTACATCTCGTGTTTCCAGAAAATGGCAAAATCAAAGTCTTTGAATTGCTCTCAATTATCCCTCTGACACTTTTTGTTATTTCCCATGAAACAATCAATTATGGTTCAAAACCTCATTATTATTTGTTTTTGGACTTTGACACAGTTATGATTGAAACTACACAAAATCTAGTGCTTTTTTATTCTATCATGGACATTGACAAGAATAAAAATGTCAAAATCCATCAAAGTTATACCTGCATATATACTCCATTGAATTCAAATCCTCAATCTGGTCATTTACTATTTTAATTGTAGAAATTCTGGCATGGAAAAACCTTGTACTGTGTCCTCATCATTAAAGAATTGTATTTCATCCATTTATCCATGCGTGCCCACTGCCCAAGCCCTCTCAGACACGCTCTCGGCACACACACACACACACATCTTACGTTTTCAGACAGCTGGTATATTCTCAGGAGTCTATTTGTTGTCCCGCTCACATCTTCTGCTCCAACAGTTAATGTGCTACTACCTTGCCAGGCTTTCACACTTTACTACGGCAAGATATAAGGAAGCCAGCACTTTCAAATCGCAGCTTGTGATGGAGGTAGACAACTCCTTACAAAACACAGGCAACAAAGGAAAGATGTGCATGATCAAACTTTATGCACATTTCCATCCAGAAAAGTGCTTGTTTGTTCAACATTTCTTTTTTTTTTTTAAAAGACACTGAAAATCATTGAGAGATCAACCACTAAGTTTCTTTGAAACTACCGAGTAATCTTATTTTTTTACTGTTTAGACAAATAATCATTATAGTATTTTTGTTTACTACCATTTGATTTGGCTCTTGTGTTTTTTTTAAGTATAATGATTAATTCTAATAATTATTAGAATTTTTTGGGAATAAAAAAATGTTTACCTTAATAGTATTTGTATCATTCAAATAAAAGGAAAATCCCAAAGTAAAGAATCAAAAAAAGAAAATTATGTTTAAAAATTCCAAAAAATGACTGAATTGAATCTTACTGGCTTGCTCTCAGTTAAAAGTTTCTCTCATTATAAATTACAAATATCAAGCATCCATGCAAACATGCAAACATGTTATCTATTCCCATTTATGCTGTATTTGCCACTTCCTGTCATTTATTGGTTTTCTTGCCTATTTATACTGTCCACACATCTATTCTACAGTCTTTGTTTTATGTCTTCCAAATTTTGCAGTTAACACATGTGGCAGCTTGTATCGATTTTAGTGAACATATTACACCAAATGGAAAATGATCTTGCTAGAGGAATTTAATCTAAAATATGTGTTCAAAAACTGAGCCTCGCAGAGCTCCACAGATGTAATGAGTGTGTGAAAAAAACCCATAACAGAATGGGGAAGGAAGGTGAGGTAACCCAAAGATCAGAACTGTTTATTCGAGTCACTGATTTCAACTTCTAATAAGAGATTTTAAATTCCCCAGGGATATTCAGGGGCATATTGCCCCTGAATACTGTAGTATTCCTTAAGGAAAAGAAAAACTCATCTTGAATAATGTGTTTTTTCTTGAAACTAAAATAAATGAAAACTTGTTTGAACAGACAGCAACATCTCTGACTTAAATTTGTGGGCAAATATATTTTTTACAAATTGTGTTCTGATACAAATTTCACAAAGGTTTTGGAAAAAATGCTAAATGTATGAGACCTGCCTTTGAGAATCTAGTGTTTATATGTTGCCTGGTCATTCACAATCACATGTGTGTGATCCATGTTAATCACGGTCTCCATAATTACCATTTTCCCGTTAATGGATCTGACCTTTTAATCACCATTTTGCCCCGTGGCCATGTTCCCATGCTCAAATGTGAGTGTGTGAGTGCAAAAAAGAAAAGAGAGACAGCAGGGAATGAGGAGGGAGAGAAAATGAGACAGCGGAGGTAATTTGGCTAAACTCGTAGGGTGATTGTAACCATCCAGACCATAAATCTTCCTCATTGACATGCACATACACACACACACACACAAGCCAGCGCACATGAATGCATGCGTATATACTCTAACCCCGAACATCATTTCCTGTTATCTCTGATAAGCAGGAAATCCTAATCAACCAATAAGAGCATTGAGGACATCTTTCACTTTCTCCCTACTTCCCCCTTCTCTGCCTCGCCTGTGGAAACAGTAATCATATGAAAAGTGCCAAAATCTCATTGTCAGCCCATTATGGCCTATTCTACTTTATTCCTCTCTTCTTTAATTAACTCCGTATGGCTATTTGAGCACTAAAAGCCACAGGATTGTCCGAGAAAGGTTGATTAGTGCAGCTGGCTGATTAGAAATTATGCCTGTTGAACCAAGCAAATATGGTTCATTCACCGTGATAAGAGAATTGCTTTTCAGCAACCGGCCAAGGACTCTTTTCATCTCTTCATAACTCAAATTATTTTCCTCAACTAACACATGCGTATATTTTGAGGGATAGAACCACATCAATGAACATTGCCTCACACCTGCCTGATGTAATGAAAGAATTTATTTTCCGTCCAAAGCCAGAATTTTATTCTTATTGAAAACCCCTGCCTGTTTTTGAGTGAATTTCTAGAATATAAATATATGTCTGTGCTGAAATGGCAGGGAATAGTCTATTATTATATTATATTATATGATATGATATGATATGATATGATATGATATGATATGATATGATATGATATGATATGATATGATATGATATGATATGATATGATATTATATTATATTATATTATATTAGATTAGATTAGATTAGATCCCTGCTGTGCATGTTAGTTTTATAAGTGTTTCTAAATGTACTCTTTCTAACTCACCTCACTTAAAGGTAGCTGGGACTGGCCTAATGAAACACTGAATAGGACAAATCAGATATGGGAACAGATGGGTGCATTGAATACATTTTTTTTAGGATTGTAATAGTGCCTGGGTACAATGGTCAACTGTCTCCAGTCTTGTCATCTGTATCTGTGGTGATAAAGTGCTGCTGACAAATGTCATCTGCTCATCCCTGCACAATTCATCTGATCTCCTTCAACATGCATACACATCCCAAAAGAGAAAAAAAAAGCTGACGTAATTTCCAACCTCCCGCACACCATTGTGACCCACTTTCATCCAAAATCATCACGAGACAACAGCTGATGGTTTTGACTGTATTTTGTCTTTCACTTTTGGGTGTTCAACAGCATGTAATTCACTACTTTGTCATGATTGATACATTTTTATTTGGTTTACGAAACAGATGTCCACTGTGATGTTTCCTTTTTTTTTTTTTTTTCTCAAATTCTTCATATTCAGATGCGGAAGCCTGTTAATGGCTCAATTAACATATAACCATCAAGCAAACATAGTCCTACCTGCTCCTGAAGTTAGCCGGGTGTGGGTGTCCATCATAGAGGGACAGGAAGTCATATTCTTCTTCTATGGCAAATGACAAGAAGATGAGCTGGATTCTGCTTCTTTCTTCTCCAACAATGACCCAGGTGCAGTTTGCCCCATTGGGGTATCCGTAGGGAAAACCGGGCGATTCTATACTGCCATTTCGGCCTTTCAGCGTACCCCCACAAGTGTAGATGAAACCTGTAAAAACAAAGATGCTCCTTTACACACTTGATTTCGGCACAGAAAAACACAGATGTAAACTGCTGGAATTGAAAAAGAATGAAGTTATCTCTAAAAAAAGTAATGAAGAACAATTTAAATGTAAAACAGGATTCCTAAACTGATTTTCTTCCCCAAACTGAAAATTAAATGATTAAAAAAAATAATCTTAGCACTTTCATTCATTTCATGGGCTCTTGCTAGATCCAAGAACTTTATTACCAAGGCTTTTGTGCAATTATAGACTCATTTGTTACTCGAATGACTTAAATTTGTATTGAAACCTTAGGCCATAGAGCATCTATGCTATTAAAACTAAACAAGTTCACAAATAACTTCAATAACACTTTATTTTCTGTGAGAGACTTTTCACCAACATAAGTTGAGAATGGAATGAAACAATTCTAAGTATATCTTTGAGTGTAAAATCAAAACATAACCTGTGTGTGCTATGTGACACCATAAGAGTAAATACAGACAAAGACAAAAACCAAAAAATTGATAGCTACAAAAAGAATAATACCAAATACAATCCAAAAACTCAAAAGCAAACAAGCAGAAAAAACATCCAAACATTCAAGATTCAAATGGCAAAAATCACATATTCTGATAAATTAATGAATAATCGACTACTGCACAAGTTCAATGCTTCATAGAGTGTCTGTGACACACCATTCATTACATCTACGAATCGAAATGTAAAAGAAGCTCAAATAATGCAAATAACAAACCGCAAGTAAATATGAGGAAGACTAAGTAGGTCAGCTTGGTTTCTATATCCTGGCCTTTGATGCTGATGTATCATTACATATTAAAGGAACACATATATATATACGGTAGGAGTTCCAGCCGAGACTGGTGAGACGAGTGTCTGTCAGAACTTCTCACAGTGCACTTCCACATCTCTGGAGCCTGTAGCGCAGCCAGCAACATAATCTTCTCATTGCATTCCCTCACAGCGAGGGCAAAGGGCAGTTTCTGTTTCAGAGCAGTTCTCATTCAGCGTGAGATGCTTGAACCCGGGTCCCCTGACTGACTGGTTACTCTGTTTCTGCAGAGCCAGTCTTCCAGCCGACTTAAAAAGGTGATATCAATAAACAGTTTGAACATCTGTCTAGAGTCAAACTGTTTATCTCCACAATATCAAAAACTGCCGTCCTCTGATTCTAGCCTTGAGTCATATCAAAATGAACAGAAGCGAGAGGCGAACTTTAACAGGTTTTCAAGCAACTTTTAAAAGAGCTTTAGTTGTTTTAAATGAACAAATTCACTGGAAAAAATCTAAATGAAAGTGGTAAAGATCACTATAACAGAGAATCAAATGTAAAATATGAACGTCTTATACCTTGAGAAGGATGTTATGAATTCACTAACTGATTTTTCTTTTATTTTGTATTTAATTAGTGTTCTTTTTTCTAATTTTATTGGAAAGATAAATTGAATCGTGAAAAAGGATAAAATGGTAGAAATGAAAAAAAAGCTTTGCTCGTATACCTTTGCATATTATTTCAACGTTCAATCATTGCAGATTTCCACATACGCAATCATTTCTCTTAGTGTATATTTTAAGCTATTGAACTTCTGAGCTTCAATTGATCTCCTCTGAGTGTGAAACTCAAATCAGGATGATCATCCCCCCTGCCTTTCATGTTTATGAGCCTCATTATTTGTCGTGGCAGAGAGGGCTATGGAGACAGTGTGGCGATCCCGTTGGATGCTTTTCAAACCAATTATCTCAGACAGAACCCCTACCAAAACCTCTCTAGGTCCACAAATATGTTTGTGTGTGTGTGTGAGTGAGTGTGTGGCCATGTGCCTGTATATCTTTATCCAAACCTTGTTTGTCCAGATAATTCTCAGACCATCAAATTGACAGATATAAGGACCGATGACAGTCTAGGCTGCAATTACAGGGATGGAATCTCTAACCCTTCAAAAACCAATCTGAGATGACATGGTGAGGAACCAGGAAGGATGATAAGAATCATATGAAAAGCTACTAACATGCAGTAATTCCAACAAAACTTATCTGCGCCTTGCTTGCTGTATTTTCCCATAAATACAACAAAAAAACGTGAAAGAAGGCTATTCACAACATGAAAGCAACTTGCTGAATTCTTATTTGGGCCAATTTAATAAATGGAGAGGCATTATGGTTCCAAGAAATAATTCAGAATTTTCAAATTAATGCGTATTATAAAAAAAAAAAAGTATTTCAATTGAAGACACATGAAAAAAGGGTAGAAGTAAGCAAATAGGTTGTTGTTTTTAAAAAATGAATTTATTTCTTAAATATTCGGCCTTTGTGTTCAGGGTTCTTTAAATATAAGCTTCTTTTTCTGTGTTGTTTTTCTCCATGTTCAATTAGTTCAGCATTAAAACCTTAAAACCTAGAAGTCAATTGAAGAATTTGTAGTCACTTCAGAGCATGTATACTTCCTGCATAGGTCTATTTCCACTTAGAGTGTCTAAAATGAATTAACTTCATTATATAAAACAACTGGGATACAGGTTGGAGTGAATAAAAGGCAAAACGGGAGTAAGAAAAGAGATTGAAAGCAGAATAAACAGACAGAAAAGGACAGATTTCCTCCTCGTTCATCACTGAGCAGGAATGAGAGGATGATTTAAAACTCATCACTCAGAGGGACGGAGGCAAGAGAGGAGGAGGCAGGGAAAGAAAGAGCAACAGGGGAGGGCAAAAAGAGCAGAGGACAGAGAAAAGTGAGAGGGAGATGAGAGACTTCTAATTATGCTGACCACCAGACCGAAACTGACAGCACCTCTACTCACACACACGCACACACACACAAATGCAAACACATGGTAAATGAAGGAGTAAATAAATAATTTGAACATATACACGCATTCTCATCGAAGCTCTCAGGCAAACGTTCACATGCCAAAGCATTAGTCATCATAGATTAATTGATATAGAGGTTTTTCGGCCAATTCAGCCTTTCACACATTTTCTCTCGGAACCAGGAAAGGACAGCCAAGCTTATATAAACATATGGTTAGTTCTCTAACAATTATCTCAACAGTTAATTACATCATTTACTATTTAACAACAACAACAAAAAGAAAAAGAAAAAGAAAAAAAAAAAAGTAATACCATTATTAGCAAATGGTTTAGGTTACTGCTGTGCTTGTATCCTTGATTTCAAAACAAGTACATATCCTTCCTCAACCAAAACTTTTCAGGTATATCTGCTACTTTCTAAAAAAAGGATTATGGGTGGGAATCCATTTAAACTAAGGCCTATGCCCCTGAAGACTTAAGTAGAGATGCTAATTGGCAAACAGTAAAAGATTTGTGGTTAGACTGGGTTGCTCCCAGGTGTGAATCTATGCACTGGTACTAATGAGGAAGGAGGTTTAGCAGGAAAAGAGCATGCGTGCTCAGCAAAACCCTCTCTGGATAAAAGAAGCTTAAAGACAAAGGAGCAAATCTGCCTCATGAATTGAATAGATTTAATGAACACTTCTCTGGTATATGAGCTTGATCTCTTTCCCTTTAAAACAATATCTTATCTTGACTTTATTAGATGACACTTTGGAGGAAAAAAAAAGAACAGATTAACTAGTGGCTTATGCTGGAGCATGGTATGCCCTTTACAAAAGAGTCAGCATTTTACTGTAAATCTTTCATCAGTCACACGTTTGCAAAATATCTTATGAGTAAAATACTTTTGTTTTTGTCTATAAATGGTATTTTAGAAAATGTTGATATAATCATACTTATCAGGAAGGAGCTGTATCACAATACTGGCCAGCATTAAGTTGCCAAGACAACCAAAAAGTGGCATCAATAAACATTTTCTTTTGATTCGTACACATTTATTAACCACGTTTTTCCACGTGGTCTTTTCAATTTTGCTTCAGAAAGTAGTCCCTCAGAGCAATCAAATGAAAAAAAAACATACTGTTCACTGAACTGGTCTCACAAACTTTGGCATTCCCTCTTAAATATTAGTTGAAAGATGGAGGTAAGATTGGAGCGTTCCAACTAAATGTAAAATCCACTCATCCCTGAGCTAAGTATTGGACAAATTGACTATGTAAATAAAACTACAAGCTTTTAAAATAGTAATCATGTCAAAATAAATGAGGTAACCCCCCTGGTGGCAATTCAAACTAATTAAGCTTCAAGATACATCCGCATTGGCCTCCCTTTTCAGAGCTAGACAGTATAAAAAGTCTATAATATGAAATGGCCAGAAAGTTACAGACTGAGACCTCAAGACTACAGCTAATAAAAATCAGAGATTGTGGCAAAGCTTCTGAAGAAAATCACATGCTGCAAAAGCAAGCTGTTCTGTTTAGATTAGCTAAATCAGTCATTCCCGTCAAAGGATCACAAAAATCGATACGATACATTTCAAAATGGTGCTTAGTGCTGGATGCAGAGGGACTTAAATGACCCTATTTCTTCACCGGAGTGGACCTGACATGACCTCAAAGCTCCTGGACATATCTATATTACACTAAATGTGTGGTTTGTGCCTATCTTAAAATGTATTAACATATAGCTTTTTTCTCAGCTATTCATGACAATACACACGTCTCACAATCGTAAACATGTGGAATGAATAATTTTTAATCTCCCTGCCTCGCTCAATGTGTCTCCCCTTTTTTTGTCTGCCTTCTTCTCATCTTGATTTTCTCTTTCTCCTCCTGTCTCTATCTCTCAGAGGGTTTAAAGGAATACTCCGTCTCACTGACTCTCGTTTATGATTGAAGAAAAGGCAGTTCCAATGGGACAAACTAACCAATGAAATCCTCAGAAATGGACAAACCATCCAGTCGGTATTCAGATCACAACAGCACGGAAAATACAACTTTCAATTGTATATCGATGGTTGTTATGCATGGTTTGATGATACATCTGTTTATTTGATTCGGCTGATTTTTGGATAAGACACTAACAGAAAGTAAGGCAAAATGGAGGAGGTATGGATCATGGAGGGAGATAAGCT